ATAAGAATAATGTTTGGGTTTTTGCTTCAGGAGCAGACCCACAAACAATTGAGGGTCTATGCTGTATTTATAGTGTCTTGTGAATCCACTTGGTCTTGGTCTTTTCTTCATGTGATTTATCTGTTATTCGGACATGTAAATGATAAAAATATGAGGCACTGCTGAAGTCTCAGTCTGCCTCTCTGCTGCAGCATTGCATTAAAATCAGAGAGCAAAAGGGGCCTCAGGGCAATAGAGGATTTCAGGCACTTCCATCAACCTGCGACTAAATGAGAGCTAAATCTACAGGGCTGTGTAATTATGAGTGCTCACTTCTTCCTCCCCCAAACATAGTGGGAAGATCTATAATTCATTAAAGCAAAACTTAAGTTACAGCTGCCACTGCTTTAAAATGGACACATTTTCTGCCCTTCTTCTAAAAAGCCCCCAATGCTCGGCTGCGGTGCATGCATATTTTGTGTTTCTAATTTCTTCTGAGGATGTTTTTGAGCTGAAGGTGGCTTTATTAGCACAAATACCATGGTGATGTCCCTGTCACTGAAGAAGTTGATTCCCTCTTCAATGTCAGAGGAAGTAAAAAGGCTAACGCAAGTCAGGGACAAATTTTGAGCCATTAAACTGTTTAAGGGAAGGGATCAGAGTGCAATGGAAACAGGATAGGAAGGTGAAAAAGAGAAAGAGGGGAGGACAGAAACACATAGTGAGGTAGAGAAAGCTCATGAGAGACTGAGAATATATGACCTAGTTATGCCTCTTACTTTGCATTCCCTAGTCTAGGTGTCCTGGTATCCAGGGTGATTTTGGGTTTTGCCAGAAGCCTGAAAGGAAGGAAGGGCAAAGTTTGAACTACATTAGGAAAAACGCTCCAGCGGTGTGTGGCTAGTCAGGTAAATTAGCCTGTTCCCTCCCAGGGCCAGGTTAGACATAAAGATAGTCAGGATGCCAGACAGTCACAGCAGAGCCAGAGCACTCTCCTCTTTCACTCCACTCCCCTCCTTCCAGTCTGCTGACGTCAGCCACCCAGACCACACGACTCTGCTGCAAACAGCACACCTGCTGGCTTCACAGTCCATCTGGCCCAGCTCCATCTCTGGCTCAGCTCCATCTCTGGCTCAGCTCTCCAAGCAGAAATGCAGGTCTGTTTACAACCTGGGCACACAGTCACGATCCTACAGTAATTGCAGTATCTATTTCACGCTCGCTCGTGGGAGAACAGAGGAGCACTTGCAGTATCGCCAGCTGATGATAACAAATATCAAAGTGACAAGAATCATGTATGTCTTATTAATATTTCACACTGCAGGTTATATGTTTCCTCGGCATGTCATGGGGCGTCTTTAATGCTATATGTAGATATAATCTACATGTTGCCGACTTGTCAAGGAATTCTCTAAGGGTTTGCTTTCACCCCTTTCCTACAACTGTACAGCACCTACAAAGGGAACAATTTTGTCTTGTAATTGATGTGACAGGCCCTTTTTATGAAATCAGCATGAACATAAAACTGCACAATCATCAAAGCAATGCTTGTAGTGCCACTACACAAAAGGGAGAGAAAGTCATTTTTAATATCAGGGCCTAGTTCTGTTGTCATCTTTACAAACAATATGTCTCAGCTGTCAATATCCAATACAAAATTATTGTTTTCCCAATGTGGTAAATGATCATTTTTATCCAAAAAAAAATACCATCTATACACATAACATCCAATCCTGCATTAAAATCATGTAGCACATTTAAGCTACTCCTCTACCAGTGTGGATTAACAAGGGCTACATTGTGTAACTTAGTAGGCATGTTTTCCAGAGCAGCAATGGGATACCCCATGTGCATTATTGATGTCACAGGTTCAAGAGAAAATAACACTAAATGACGACTCAACAGGCAATAATCAAGCAGGAAACACTACGGCTACCTTAAGCTAAGAGACACACATGTGCTTTAGACATCCCAACAACCTAAGCTTGAAGAAATGCCACGTCCTGCCACCAAATTCACTCATGTATTCTGGCAATAGTGGGTCATGTGAAGGAAATGCATTCCCCCGAACAGCCTCCTGCTATTTGTAATGACAGAAATAACTCAACACATTTCTATTCGGGGTCTATAATGTCTCTTGGAAGACACCAGCAACGGGACATGCAGGCACTGGCTTGCCCCTCCGCTCAAACACTCGCTTTTCTTTTCTGTCTGCCAGGTCAGACACAATTGCTGCGCTATCCAGAGCTCTGCGGAGTGAACGAACTGTGGTCGACAGGTGACTAACCTGAATGGTGCACGTATATTCCGTATCGTCCAGCAGTCTGACGGTGCAGCTGTATTCCCGCTCAAGATTCCTGATGCTGCCACTCATGAATCGGCTCAACATCTTCTCGGAGAATCGCTGCTCTGCGTCTAGGACCAGAACAATAAACTCAACACCAGCGTGCAAGTGAATGTCACATTGACCACAATCCCCGGTCCCCTACACGACCAGCAGCCACGGTTTCAGCCGCCGAGGCGTGCACCATTGTTGTCCCGTTAAGTTTTCGTGCAAGTGGGCCCGTGCTACGAGCAGAATCCAAGGATGCCCGCATCCAGATCCAGAGGCAGCTGCTTAAAACCCCCGTTGTGTTGTCTGTGGTAGAGCCGAGGATTATCTCTCACCATTCACCGCCGCCACTTGAGCGAGCGGGCGGGACCCAATGAAAACTGACGTCAAAGTGAACCAACTGGGTGTGTGGCATTTTCTCTGCACTTTAATATCCAATATTGTTTCTCTTACGCTGGGATTTGTCCTGACACACAGCTTCCCAGTTCCAGAAAATATCCTAAATTGCCTCTTATTTGTGAAATATTTATAATGCAAAACTACTGCAGTGCATGTTAGAAATGCATGCAATACAGAAAAACCCAGGATAGGCTTTTTGGGACGAGAGGTAGGGGGTGTGTGATTACGCCTAAATACAATATATATATATAGATATTATTATATTATATATAGCTCCAGCTCCAGAAGCAATACCTGCTAAATCTGCAGCACTTGATGGCTTCAATGTCAATTCTTTGCAAAGGAGCCAAAACCAGTGCCACCGCTGGTCTCAAGTGACCTCTGCACTTTGTTTGTTTGTAGTGTGTCAAACTTAGGGTAAGCCCCTCTGAAAGGCGGAGGGCAAGGCATTATTTTTAATAACTATTCCTGTCATAGTGGGTGAATATTGAATGTGTCCGACTGCCACCTGCAGGTCAGTCGTCGCCAGTGCGCTTTAAACAGCCATCAGTGGACCCCAGAGTAGGAAAATAGTCAGTTTGGTATAAGGCCCCTCAGGGGTCTCTGAGAGGAGGTGGAGGATTTCCCAAAAAATAAATAACCCTGTAGTGTTACAACTGTGTAACTTACACTTATTCCCAGTATTACAGTACGCTACAGTAAGAGCTTTGTGCCCTCTGCCATCACTGCCCTCAACAAACTCTGTAGCATAACACTAAACAGGCTCATGTTCTTGATTTGCATGCACTTTTTCTCTGTGGTGATGTTTCTTGTCCTATGTGCTGATTTATATTCTATGTGTACATTTTCCTCTATGGAGGACAATAAAT